AAAAACATATCTGGGATAAGTTTTCCATTGAAGAAACCAGTAGTTTGTTTGACCAAAATGTCTGAGGAAAAAGTTTCTGACAGATTCAGCATTTAGCTTGCTAATTCATGTGGACAGAATTCAGTCAATAACAGGAAAATTTACCTTCAAATAGTTCTATTAACCAGAACCCACACAGAGGAAAAATCAAATAGAGCATTTTTCAGGCAGAGGCTTGTTTTGAGTGACACCAAAAGGGATCATGATGACACATAATTCAGAGCTTAAAGGAGTGCAAGAAAGCAAAGTAGTGAGAATGCAGAGTTAAGTCAGAGGTGAGGAACTAAAGAATAAAAAAGTAAGGCAGGAGATAGGTATTGAAAAATCCTGCAAGAGAAAGAGAATTGTGATAAAAAGTGTGAAATGTCCTGAGCAGGCCATGGAGTCAGCATGACACCCACTAGAATGAATCGTTCACAGGGGAGCCACTATTCTGGTAGAGAAAGAACTGTGTCAGGAGATGAGACTGTTCCTGTCAGAAAGGTACTTTATTCTACTTGGCATCCTCAAGTGGCTTTTTCTCCATAAAAATTTAAAAGTCAAGAAAAATCTCTTAAGATTTGACAGTAAACTGGTAGTTAAAGGACAGCTTTGGCTTTATGATACTGTTTAAATCAAGTCCAATCAGCTCACAGACTTGAATATTTTATCAGTGCTCCAGCCATAGCGATATTGGGTGCTCTGGGTAAAATTAAATTGATTTGTTCCTCTCACTTCTATGCAAGGTGCATCCTGCTTCATCATATTTGGCTTCTGACAAAACACTACTGGCACTCTTCCACCTCAAAACACCGCCTGTGGCTCAAGCCTTTTTTTCCCTAAGGAGTGACATAAACCATCCATGAGGAGAAACATGGACTCATKTAGATTTAAGAGAAGCTATTGGTTCTGGTGACATTTCTGATTTTTAAATGAYAGCGCTTGGACATGAAGGAAGATCTCACGTGTTTTCATTCAGTGCCACATGTCCACAGTACAAATGCTCTCAGGGCTGTACATAAGGTTTCTTGCTGTACTTCTAGAGCCTCTAAGAATAYTGAAATTCCTTCCCTTCCACATTTTTCCCTTCTCCTACTCCTAATAAACCAACACTCTAATCCAATTTACCATTCCATCCATAAAGAAATTAGTAGCAGATTCTTGAAAATTAGTAACAGTTCTTGAAATCTCAGTGTAAAATCTGAGAATTAGGGCTGATGCTACCGTGTTGATCAGTAACATTTATTTCTGGAGTTTTTAGGCTTCAAGAAGTTCTCTGCAAGATGGCAGAGGCACCTGTACAGTTTCTTTTATGTAACCAAGTSGTTCTCTAACTGAATATAGACATATTCTCTTGTTTTGTTTGGAACTCTTTTCATTTTTCTGTAAAGAGTATCTTTTGCCTGCTCACTGACAAACAAGCTCACCCCTTCCTTTTCCATTGTTTCCACATTTGGATTGCAAACTAGAGAYTCAACAACGCAGCTGTCTCAGGTGCTCGTATGGTGGTTTTTATAGTTTGAACTCCTTTGACCAAGGAAAAATGGTGAAGTTTGCAAAGTCAAATGTTCTGTTCAGCTTGTGCAAATTTAATTTGGCTTCCACAATTTCTCAAAATACAGTGATGTATTATCTTTTCTCCCAGAATTCTAGCACACACATTAGCTGTTGACATGAACTTGGTCTGAAGATAAATTATAATGTTGCATTGAAGTAGGTTGTTACTCACAAGACATTGATATCATTTGCAGCAGAAGATGTAGAGAACGAGAAGGGCAATTATAAGAAAAATAACTGTTTCACATGGTGTTCTCTGGAAAATTGACTCCCTTCACAGGAATGCTCAGAGCAGAAATAAATCAAGGTTTATACATCCCTCAAATATGATGGTGATGGGTAAGGCAGTCCATGAAAAMAAGAAGTCTTCTGAAAAGGCTTTGRATGGCATGCAAAAAATGCAACAAAATCTGAGCAAGGAGGARAAAAATATGGCATAGCTATTTCTTGGGAAGAATCTGTGTTSTCTTACTCCAATACATCATAGGATGCACTGAGAAACATAGAAAGCAATTAAATAAGATCACATMATTACGAATGTGCACATGGGAATGAAATTGATTCTACTTCTTCAACAATTCCACAATCTGTTAATACATGAACACAATTTTAGCAATGTTAGGGTCTTTTTTTCAACAATTTCTGTGCACGATATATATATGTACCTTGTGCATATATATATATAATGCATATATATATCTCACACATATATATCTATCTCACACAYATAAATATATTTATATATGATTTAGTGTCTCATATTAATGAGATTTAAAAGCTATTTAGTAATGTGTTTTGAGTCCTCTCAAATTTTCCTTTTTCTCTGTAGAAGRGGATGAACTGAAGCAGAGTACTGAAAGTGTTAGGCATTATGGAACATTTGACATTAAATGGAAAATAATAAGAAAAAAATGGAGAGATCTTGCAATAATGAAATAGTACTGGATACATAAATTTATAGGGAAATTTAAGGGTTAGAGTAACCCTTGGGATAAATGACTCTGTAAATATGCATTTTTCTGAGTTAGATTCAAATGAAGGACCACTGGGAATGCCAGTGAAACCACTGTTTCAGACACTTGAATGGAAATTTATGAATTTTTGAATAACATTTCAGCTGGATTTCTGAGAGGRTTACATGACAGTGTTTTGGTCTGGATCAATTAAACATGGTGATTTATAAAAATACAAGAATAGGATTCTCAGTTAATTTCAATATTTTATCACACCTCTTGATTAATGTTTGTATAATTTTTAATGTGGCAATTTTAATTATTAAAAAATTAGAAAACCAGATGGAATTACAAAACAGCAACAGATTACTTAATTAACTTTTGCCCACTGGGATAAATAGAACATACCACAGAATATATCAAAGCAGACACCGATGAGACACTATACATCCATTAGTATGCAGGAGGTTTTCTCTTCAGATAGCAGCTCTTATCAGACATAAGCACATGCCTATCAATCTTATTAAATAAACCCAGCAACTCCRCATGTTGTCATCCATAGCATATAACATCATGGCAAAAATCTGAAGTATACTGTGATGCTCCCTGCAGACCAGTGAAATCTCCCACCAAAGTATGCGAGGTGGATAAAGAGTAAAAAAAAATAATTGCTATTATTTTATGGAGTATGACATGTAAGTTAGTCTGCAAATACTAACAAACATCCTTTAGCTGTGAAAGAGGGYCTTAAACCAAAAGTGATCAAAATACCAGATTTTAAAATTCTTGTCATATTTCTCTAATTGTATTACAAATACTCTGTCAGCTCCACTGCATGATGTGTATTACATACCTGGGTAAAAATGTGAGTGAATCAGATGAAGTGCAGACCTGTCAACCCATAATAATATAAGTCTTCTTTACTTATATGAAATATTCCTTGAACTTATTGCAGTACTACATAGACTTTTGTAATTTTCTTTGTACAATTTGCTAAGATGTGCTCTGAAATAAAAATTATTTCAAATGAGATTCCAGAAGCTCTACAATTGCTTCATTTGGCCAATGAACCCTATCTGATGACTTTCAGGATTCCCAGAAAAAAACTGATAATTATTGCACACCAAATACATTCCTAAATGATGTGCATTGATGCMTTTTTATTTAATAAAAGTGAGTGTCACCATATATATGTGCATACATTCAGTTATTGCTATCAGAATTAACAGTCTGCAATTTAACCCCAGCCTATCAGAAAAAGGGCTCAGCAGACCCACACAAATTGAAATGTTACTTGCCACAGGCTTTTCACCAGGCCTCAAGACAATGTGTTTGTTAGTACCTTCAGATTAATACCAGTTAGTTTCTGAACAGTKTCAGTCTCATGCTAGATGATTTAAACCAGATGAAAATAAAAGTGTGTTACCCAAAATAAAAGAATACAGAAAATACAGTATTGTAGTATTTACTGAACAAAATAACAAATAAAAATCATGTTTGCTTTTTTTTTTTTTTTTTTAACAGCATTAAGTAATCAAACTTAGGCCATACAAGCATCAACAAGAAATGTAAGTAACTGTACTATTAAGGTGGTATCTACAACTTTTTTAAACTGCTTGAAATCCAAACCCACAAATGTTGTATACCTCACTTTAAAACCATTTAAGTGCTTTGCACAGTTTGTAAAAAAAATTGATAGTCAATGATAGTTATGAAATGTATGTGCAGTACCTGATTTTTTTATTTTAATAGCTCAGGCCCAGATGATCAAAGCATTTAGGTTCCTACTCCTCAGGGAAGCTCTGGGTCTCCATGTATACTGACCCCTTCCCTGAAAGGAGTAACTGTTTTTGATGGTGTGAATTGRTAGTCTTGTCTTTCCCTATGCAGGGAGGGAAAGGGTCGATTTTACAGAAAGAATGGTTCCAATAGGCAGAAAGTTTATGGCACTGCAACAACATGAACCACCTTCCCTACACAACATAAAAATATTCTAATATTAAGGATTATTTTACAACTCAGTGAAAATATGCAGTAATGCAACTCATTTCCTTTGTCTGGATGACAAAATGCAGTCTTAACAGTCACAAGAACCCGCCTTGTGTTAGCTATAAAAAAAAATATATTTATATATATATTTATGCAACTGCTATGTGCATTAAACAAAACCACTGTATGAATCAGCAGGGTTCAATAACACTTGCATCTGAATCTCTGGAAGGGGTGCATTGAAGTCTATGGTGCTCCTCAGTAAGGACTCACAATGAAATAGCAAAGAATAGAAAGCCATTTATTTTAAATCTTATTTTTCTTACCCCATTGMCTAAGAAATGGTCCATAAGCTCTCTGGAAGCTAAAGGGATCTGCTCCCTTCACTTCAACCTGCTGCCAAGGAATGAAACATATACCATAAAACAAATCGGATAATTCATTTTTTAGTGAACACTGAAACTGAAAATCAGCCCAACTGAAACTGAAAATCAGCCCAACATCATTGTGAATGCCCATGAAATAATTTCACCATTGTGAAAATTCTCTGTTCTCTTCAGTTCCTACTGATCCACATATCATGAGTTGTTTAGAAGGGTTGTAATCAGCAATGCACAAGAAAGATTGTATTACTCCTGGAAAGCATTTACATAGTGAATCACTCAGTTAGGTTGGCAGTCAATTTAGAATTGAAGAGTGTGTGTATTTCACATCTGTTTATGTAAATGTCAGAAAATTCCTTTTTTGATTCTTTACCTGTTTTAAGATACTTTCCTCAATCACCTGTGAACACTGATCTGTGCCCTTTGCATTGAAATGGCACAGATTTTTCCCTCAGTCTTTGAGATAACAGAGAAGAAGACTTGAACCAAAGGGCAATGCCCCTGTGCACCAAAGCTTTATTGTACTTCTGATTGCTGTGCATCCCCACACCTAAAGCAAATGACACGGCACTTGTGCCTCAGTTCTGATACTGTAGGTGTCCACTGACAAGTGTTCTGCATGAACCATTGTGTCTCAGTCCACTAACAAACACTACTGTGCAGTAGTAATCTGCTATCTTAGATAGTTTTTCTTCTTGGACAAAGTTTATCCAGAATCTTCTTTCTATCGGGCTACAGCAGCTTAGGGCTCCTTTTCTTTAAAGAGAGGCAAAGTWAATGTCTTACACCTGTAGACCAGTACTGGTGCTCTGTCCCAGAAATTTTAGCACTGCTCTGATACGATGAACCCTTCTTTTTCTCCAACTGGTTCCACCTCAGCATAGGCAGGATGTCCAGATCCTCTTCTGAATTTCATTGCTGGCCATCTGCTTGGACGCCGCTGCAACAGCAACAACAAAATAAACTTTCAGAATATAAAGGATGCTACAATAAATTGTTAACGAAAAGATGTAACAATATCCTGCAATTTTGACCTCTCACACTAAAACTCACTCCCTGTAGTTGTTACAGGAATAGAATRGCACAGTTCAGCAGCGGCAAAAGTCAGAGGAATTAATCCCTCTTTTTAAATTTGTGAGTGATGACTGTTCTCAAAGATGTAAATGATTACCACTTCTCTTAGCAATGAAGAGGATGAAATTGCTCCTATCTCAAATGGTTGATTGTTGGATTTGTCACATAAAGAACTGCTATCCACTAACCTCTAGAGGATCTGTCCAGTGCTCTTCCTTCCTGGTTCTCCATAGGAATTTGCTATCATACTCTATGCTATGGGAGAATATGTGGCAGAGTTGACAGCAACTGTAATTAAAAAAATTATTTAGGACAAAATTCTGGCATGCTTATGCAGGGCCCTCAAAATGGTGACTTTTTATTTAAAGTGCCAGAATTTCTACTTGAGTAGTTAACTTTGATGGTTCAAMTAGAAGCAATGTTTTTATTTAAACTCTGAAGAACTTTGGGTAGAATTTAAGAAGTCCTAACAAATTTCCAGTAGAATCTTGGGCACCGCTTTAAAAACAGCTAATAAACAGAGAAAATAAACAGTTATTTTCTAGGGGGGATAAAACAAGTCCTGTATTACTATATCTTTGGGGAGAAAAAGTGCTTTAAACAATTTGTATTTTCAAACTAAATAATGTCAGATAAGGTTCAGATTCTGGGTGACCACTCTGAGTTTTTGTCAAAAGCAATAGCTTTCTGCARAATTGGGAAACACCTTCAAAGATTCAGTGAGAAGAAAAAGCTCTCCTAAAAAGATTATTATCTTGAAAATTTTATCTGCCAAATATACTGATTTTTTTTTTTTTTTTACTGACAGAAGTAACAATCTGCTTGGAGGGAGGGCTAGAAGACACAGCAACTTATATAGAAACATTGCAGGAAAATGAGAGGAGAATCAATGAAAATAAGTTACAGCCTGTATTTTCACTGACARCTCAAAAGCTAAATAATTTTACTTTATGATCTTTCTTCTGAATATAAAMACTGCATCTGATTTTCTGTCCCCATAATACCCCATTTTTATTTCCTTTCAGTCACTAAGGATACCTCATGCTGCTGAGGGTGGTGTTTGGAACAACAACAGCCATGATGTTCTGTTGGGACTCGTGGTGCTTTTGGGCAAAGAAATCCTGGGGTGCCATTGAATCCAGTTCCCAACAAACCACACAACTACTGCAGGCTCAGCACAAAGTCTTCCTCAGTGATCATTGCTGGCAAGATAGCACATAAAAGCAACCTCTTCCTTTTCCTCCTCATGCAGGATCAGGTTACTTTTGAGGCRTTCAGAGTTAAATTCTGTTTGACAGGCAATTTAAAATCCCAGGCCTTTCAGAGCAGCACCTTCCTACAAAGCAGGAAGGCAGAACGCTGTCTTCTTTAATGGATGTCTCTTCCTAACAAGAAAACTTAGTCTATTCAAACTTTGGAGAGTTTTTTTCCACACAGGCTTGATTTTGTGTTTTCAAGATTAAAAAGGACAGTTTGGTTACTGCTAAGGAAAAAGGGTCATATTCTGTTCTCAGGCTCACTAAAGTAAATCAAGAATAATTCAATTAAATGTAAAGGGTTTATTTCAGATTTACGCTGGTACAAATGAGAAAGGAATTTGACAGAGAGGACTCTAATGAAAAAGGAAAATGAAAAACCACTGGAAAACTAGCAGGAAAAAAACAACTACAACCAGTATCAAATGGTGGCATGTAAGGATGAGCTGGATTTTCATATACTGAGTTTCTCCCTCATTTAAATTTAAGAGGTACCTCTGATAAGTTACTACTTCTTTGCTACGTTGCTGGTAGATACTGAATCTACCATTTTTTGCTACTCTTTTCAACTGGCCTTTCCAGATGATTAGTTATAGAACAGATGTGTATCAGTTTTAATGACACAAAGTCATAWGACATAAACATGAGCTGTTTTTTCCAAAAATAAAGCAATAGACTTGAAGGTCATCTCCTAATATTACAGCTACAGCTTTCTGTGGTTTCTTGTCACGTCTGAGGTGAGATATTCCCTTCATAGTGATTGTTTAATTTCAGCTTCCTTATGTGCCTGTGAGTAATTAAGTGGTTGACAGTTTTAAAAGAGAGYACTGACAAACTATCAATTCATTGCCTTATGTAACCCCTTGAAAGCTGTAAGTATATTTCAGCTTTTATGGAAAAAAACCAAAGTAACTTGATTGATATTGGAAGATACAAAGTTCCTCCAGTTACTGAAGCAGCTCAGGAAATAACTAATGCATTCTTTTTCTTCGTTCTCGTGAAGACTTTTATGAAGACACAAAAAAAACCCCTACCTGCAAACAAACCAATCAAAAAAATACACCAAAAAAACCCACCAAASCCAAACCAAACAGGGAGAAAGTGAGGTGGGTATTTAAATAATTAATTCCCAATTTTAGCAGGGAAAAAATGTTTCTTCCTCTGGAATCAGAACACTTAAAGGAAATCCTCTGAGCTGTGGCTGGACTTGTAACTCCTGCTTCCTTTAGTGTGTTACAAAGCAGGAAAGCACGACTAGTTTCTTTGTGATGGGACTAAAGCTTCCTTGAGTTCACTATTTTAAGCAGTGAAGTTGAGAGAAAAGCACTTGTGACCGTACACGACCAGGATGCAGAAGAAATGTGTTAAGACGCAGAAAAAAATTTCTGATTCACATTAGAAAAGTTAGTTCCTATTGAAGACCAGTGAGATAAAAGGAAAAAACAAAACCAGCAGTTGGCTAATCCTTGGAAAGTGAGGTCTACCTTTCAAGTTTCTTACATTTTCTGTCTACACCATTGCTGGGGCTGTGCAGGATATTTGACTTCCTGCAGCAATTCTTAGACTAAAAGAAGTGTATTTGCATACATCTTGCAGTAGAGGCAGAATTTATACCATTTGTCATTTTTCTGAGGGTAAAACAGAAGGGATTCCACCTACTAAAACGAAAAGGTAGAGACTGGAGTAACTTCTCACTCTTGTTGCATGGAAATGTCTCCAAGTGTTGTTGAGCATTTTCTTCTTTTGACATCTTCCAACATCGGGAAATGTTGAGCCTTATAGGGCTTCTCTTATCCATGAAAACCATATGATCTCATTTAGACATGTTAAAAAGAAGTTCTGATACATATCTGAGTGCAGTTAATTGAACATAGTCTAATTAAAACTCAGTTGTTACAATCTGAACATGGTTTCCAGTGTTACAGTCTCTGATTTTTTTAAGGTTGCTAGCTGTAGACCATGTTATTTCCTGCTGCACAGTAAGCAATATTATAAGATCAATGACAGGAGGATGGACAGCTGTGTAAAGTTGTGTTGAGATACTGGTATCTCGAGATTGATGCCCTGCTCCTGGCAGTTTTGATGCTGACATTATCACTATCTCTAAAATTTATGCCAATTAACACTTTTCATCTGAGATAGTAATTTATCAAAACCAATTGTAGTAATGTATATATCATTAGCTGCAGCAATTATAAGCTTTCAAACTTCCTTTCATGCATCTGCATGAAGACAAATCTACTAGTGATGAACAGAAGGAACTTGGCAACATGTATTACATATCTGATGTTCTTACATCCTTGCCTGTATTATCCCCATCCCATTCTCATTCTGTCCTTTCCTGAGTACACAAAAATGGAATGAGAACAATTCTGTACAGATCTGCAATGTCAGAGGAGCAGAGAAGAGAAACATTTATGATATACCTGCCCCTCTGCCATCTCCTCAAACCTGCACACACATTTTGTTCTGAAAAAAAATTCTAATACACTATCAAAAGTTTCTYTTTGTATTTCAACCAGCATAAAATCCCAGAGTGCTTGTGCATGGATCAGATCTTCACTCCTATTCAGCAGTGAACTTGAGCAGTGCATATCACCAAGACACGWGCACATTCTTGTTTCAAACTGAATTTACATGAGTATAAATACTTAGCAGGAGAAGGTCAAGCTTTTTGACTCTCCAGAGTTCCCTAATAGACTTGATTTCTCACTAAACTACACAAAAGCTAAAGTTATTGAGCACATGTTGGGCTGAATGCTCTGGCACAACTTTGTCTTCTCTATTGATTATTTTTCTGTATTTCAATCTTTCAAAATTTCAGAGCACTGTTTCCACTGAAGGGCTGAATCTTACATTTCCACTAATGTCAAGTTMTTTGATGAATTCAAGAGCATAAAGACATTAAAATCTATTTAAAAGCTGTATCCTTTAACTACACTTTGCCAAGAATGCCTGTTTAATTCTGCTAACATGTACATATGCAGATATGGAACTATCCAAATACTGGATCAACTGKCAAAACACCAGAAAAATTGTTATGACTTACTGAAATAGATTAAGAAAAAAGGAACGAAACTATAATGAAGTGTTACTAAATGGCTACATAACTGAATGTTAATCTGATACTMTTCAATGCCCATCAGTCTAAGTACTCTCGTCCAGTGTTAATCTACCTCAGTAGKCAGACCTTTGGTTTCTTGTGAGAACTGAAGATCTTTCTGTTAGCAGTTACCTTGCCCATAACATGTACTTTGTAGGTTATGTATTTCAGGAAACAAAGTTRTCTGAAATTTGTGTGTCAGTCTTTAATCTCTTCTAGAAACACTGATTTTCTTGGCAAATCACATTCAGAAGAGGATGTGGCTACAAATATCTGAAACGATACTTCTGACAAATATTTCCAGGAATAAGAAAAGATCAATTGCCTGACACTCTGTTAAACTCTTATTTTGATGAAACTGTTCTCAGATGAGAATTGCTTCAGACTTAAGATTCAGTAAAATCATTTACTGCCTTCATTTATTTTTYTTTTTGATAGAAGTACTTGTTTAAAGTATCTTTTTGTGATTTAAAGCTTCTTGCCGTAACACTTTCTGAAATCTTATGT